AATCTTTAGCCTATATAAAACCCTCAATTCATCAAACAAGAACATCATTCCATCTTTGGAGCTTAAAATTCCGTTTTTTATATTTTATTTTTGTATTATCTTGAAGAGTTGAAGAAGAAGTCATTTCTCTCCTCTACAATTGGTTCTAGGTAATTTTTCTTGTATGTTATTGTATTTCCTTGTTCTTAGTTACACTGTAATTAGTATGAGCCCAGGAGGGTAATTCCTTAGCTAAGGCTATAAATGAACTTCTATGCCAACTAGATGTTTGATAAAAGTTCTAAACCAATAAATTGTGATTTATCCTTTATACTTTGATTGTTTATGACTATGGTGCACAACATCGAAGTATATTAAATTTAGTTCATACTTGCAATCAAAATCCCTGCACTTTACTCATTTCTTGATGTAAAGTTATCTACTCTCGGACTTAAATTAAACAACGTTTCCCTGTGGATTCGACTCGGTATTTTACCGGAATTTATTACTATATCGGCACTTGTACACTTGCAAGTTTAGCCCGGTCACAGCTCGAAAGCACTCCCCTACGATTCAGCGACCCAATTCCAGCTCACACTTTCACTTCACCACAACCGCAAGAGACTACCGTGCTGAATCGCAATCCACTGGTGTCGCTTCACTCCCACCGGTCCAAGTAGTGTTCACCGAGTTCTATGGTCGAGGGGTGTTTGTTATCCCCATCACTTCTTCATCGTTGTATGGGGTCATACTGTCCATATGGTGTGTCTGACTGCATGAATCCGGATTTAAGTGATTGAGCTATAAGACAAAACAAAGATCGCAAATGAATTTTTATTTTCTTGACATGCGGGGAGAAGAAGATTAAAACACATAAATGAAAAGACCACAATATCGTACTGATATTGATTATTGCTCCACAAAGATGTCAACTTTTATCATATCACATCATCTTCCTTTTTTATGTTTCCGAAGCTGTTTTTACAAATTGGATTGAGTAGGGTAACCCGTTTACCCGAATTTTACCTGTGTTTTTGGGCGGGAAGTTGAGCATTTTTTCCACCTTGCTTTGTATATAGTATAGATAAGTCATAAGTGGTGGGTGATTTGTGTTGTGTGGACATTTTAAAAAAAACTTGCCTGCTCACCAGGATTAATGCTGTCAGCATCCAGGTCTCTATCAAATTCTATCAAGGGGAGTCCATTTGAAATTGCTCCGCACTCGGTATTTACAATCTAAAAACATAACCATGTCAAAGAGTTATTTGTATCAGAAGTTTAAGACTCAGGTCCTGTTTGGTAACACTAATCAACTTATTCTTCTTATCAGAAGAATAGTAATTGTTGGGCCTTACTGTAATTCAGAAAGGAGTATTATATTTCTTTTTATTAAAAAAGTGTTTTTCTTATAAGGTTACTAGAATAGAAGTGATGACCGAAAAATGATTACATGATCAAATACAACTTCCTAAAAACTAAAATAAAAAATTAACCACTTGAAGACTTTTCATTCTTACCGTGGAAATGAAACGAAATAGAAAACAAAGAAAAGAAGAGAAGAAATAAATTTCAGCTAAAGTTACCAGGGTGAGAGACGATTGATGGTTATGGGAGCAACTCGATGCTTTGTGGATGCTGAGGGACCGGACGACAGACTCCTCCATCACAACCCTAACCGATTCTCAGTTTCTAGAGAGTGAAATGGGAAATGAAGTGGGTAAAACATTTTTTAAAGAGTAAACTGAAGACCATTTATCATTCACACAACACTAATAAACTAAATGAAACAATCACTTTCATGACCCAAAAACCTCACAAAAAATGGAAACTGAATGCTGATGCCTGTTACTTATCTGATATAGCATTTGAAAGGGCTTCTTGCGAGGCGAGAAGGGCAAGATGATCTTAGCTTTTGGTTTCCCTGTCAATGCCTCCTTAGCTCTCGAAGCGGGATTGCAGGCTATCATCTTTGCTACACGATGGACGATTGACAGAAGGTATTTAGACTTCATGGTTGAATCGGATTGCTCAAAAGCTTTGGAATACCTAGCGGGAAGGAAGACGAGGAGATGGAGAGAAGAAATTCAGGAAACTTTATAGTGGGCAAATAGGAAACATGTGATTTACACTCACTCGTACAGTGAAAGCAATTGGGTCGCTCACCATATTGCTGCAACCCATTTTGATCAGGTTGAAATATTTGGAAGCCCATCCAATCTCTCGATCCATGTGAAGAGGGCCTATTGGATGGATTTTTTCGGTATTCCATCGTTTAGATTTTAATTTTGTTATCGGGTCAGGTTCGCCCCCCATTATTTGGAATATTTTTATTCAGGAGAGGTTTTGGTTTGGTCCCCCTCTCACATGTATTTTTCTCTCTTTTTAATAAAATGCGGTAAATGTTCCCCGACATGTACCCCACTGATTTTGGGGGTTTGCCTTCCGGGGTACAAAAAAGTGTAACCATCATGAACTGTTATCAATAGGCATAGTTGTGATTCTCACATATAAACAAAGTAGTAACAAGTAAGCACTACCTAATAAAACAATCAAAATATTAATCATTATCGAATTTGATTTCATTTTGTATTAAAGTGCCCTCTTCTTCATTTGAGTTTTCAACAGAGGTAACAGAAGATTCAGCACTTACAACACTCTTATCAGATTCACCTTTACATGAAATTTGTGTTAAGTCTTTCTTCTTTTTAGCATAGGTTTAGATTCCTTTTGAGCTTTACGCAATAATGCACACCAATATTTATAGTATGCATTCACACATCGAGGATCAAGTTTACCAAAATGAGCAGCCCTGAGTAATGTTCAAGCAATCAAGCATTGACACTTAGAAATGTAAACAATACAGAATGAGAATGATAATAAATGAGCCCAGAGAAGTCTACTGTGATCGAGTTCAGTTTTACTTCCAAGCCAAATAATAATATTATTATTCATAACGGAATTGATTTCAATTGAGGGTGATAGTTGCAATAACTAAAGATCATAGAGCAAGGGAATAACATGAGCTTACTTTCGAACATTCACATTCGCCAAACCAATCATAAACAAATGAATCAGTAATATAATAATAACATCATTTAGTGAAATAAGAAACAGAGAAGATAATGAAACAATACCATAAGTGTAGCGTAGAAAAGACAAAGCCTGGAATTGGCATTGAGCAACCAAATTTTGATTTTGTATGCTGAATTATACACACCCTGTCTCACAAAACTTGGTTAACTTTATTTTGCACGTAGAATAATAAAGTTCAAACTATTTGATTGAGATTTGTGCACATGGAAGAGAAACTACTTTAACCATATACTCTCTCAAGCCCTTAAACCTTTGCCACGTTTGATCAACAAGAATCACAAATTAGTTGATTGAAAAGGGAAAGTGATAAAGTTTTTGGGACATTCCAAAAAGGAAAGATGATATAATTTTAAGGGACGGAGAGATTATTTATTACTCTAAATGGAAATGAGAAAGTTTTTTGAGACAACCAAAAAAGGAAATCGGACCAAGTTTTGTTGGACGGATGAGATATATTATCTCCGTCGCATAAAACTCTTCCCATTTACAATTTTGGAACGCCCCAAAAAATTCTTCCCATTTGCCTCTTTGAAAGTTTTGTGTAACTAGCATTCATTTACATTTTTCTTAATCAACCACAATCATGCATTTCTACTTTATTAAACTTTGATCCATGTCAAATCGATAAAAATTTTATGGGAAGAGAGACTAATAATCAACATAAGTGAGTTTTAAGTTACTTTTGTGATTTTGTGATTATATTTTCCGAAATTACTGTAGAAGATTATTGTAGTTATCTTCCATAAGTTTTTATCCTTATTTATGATTAAAAACTTATAAATATAATATTTCCGCAATCTGTAAATTAGTGAAGTGACCGGGCCGGTTCAACTACAAATCACGAGTTTCAATAGATTCAATCCATTTAACCATTTTTAATGCCCGTTTGGTAATACCAAAATCGGCTGAATCGACTAATTCTGCTGAAATTTATGAAATTCTGTCTGAAGTGGCCTATAACATTGGCTGATTTATGAAAAATTATATTTAAATTATAGTTTATTAATAAAATAAATAAAAAAATATATGTAAAATTAACTAAAATGGTCCTACATAATAACTTCATTAGTATAACCAGAAAAGTAAATCCAACCTTACTTATTATTATTATTATTATTATTATTATTATTATTATTATTATTATTATTATTATTATTATTATTATTATTATTATTATTATTATTATTATTATTATTATTATTATTATTATTATTATTATTATTATTATTATTATTATTATTATTATTATTATTATTATTATTATTATTATTATTATTATTATTATTATTATTATTATTATTATTATTATTATTATTATTATTATTATGATTGCATAATTTAGTGCGCGAAATAAAAAATTACGTGTTTGGTGGAATAATACGGAGAATAATAAACTAAAAATTGTGTAATTGAACTTCATGAAGATGAGATAGATTTAATATGAATGACAATTCTTTAATTAAATAAGAAAACGAAAAAGTTAGTGTAAAAACAAAAAAAGGAAAATAGATAATTCCTTAAGAGATGACGAAGTACAATTTAAAATTTTCCAAATTAAGAACGGTTTGGTGACTATGTTTTTAGTTTATCAGACTTATCAGCCACTTTTTTCACTAAACACATAGTTCTTGATATCGCGATCAAAATTTTGTGATAATAATAAAAAGTAAGGTTTGAGATACTTTTGTGCCTCTATTAACTGAAGTTATTATAGAAATCATTTTAACAATTTTTTCATATTACTGTTTCTTTATTTAATCAATAAAGTATTATTAAAATATACTTTTTACATAAATCAGTACAATCAACAAATCCAGTCACTTCGAACAAAATTTTATAAGTTTCAGAAAAATCATCAGATTTTTGGTATTATAAAACGGGTTCTAAATGATTCAAGTAATTGGCCCACAGTTGATGCGGTCCAGTTTGAAAATCACATGCCCAAATCTGCAATAACCTAACCTATCGTCTACCAATTCATCCGATCCAGCAATTCTCTCTACCGCTCCTCTCAGCCAGACGGTCATAAGCTATATTGCTCTCTCCGTTTCCAGCCCCTCTTCCCCTTAGGTCGGTCGCGGTCTACACCACGCCGTTGGTCAAGTATCCCGAGGTTGCTTGATTATTACTAACTGCCTTCTTATTTTATCGCATCTTGTTGTTTGTTCGTACATATCTTTTTATATTTTATCAGCAGTGAATAGATCAAGATTAGAGATTTTGATGTATAAAGATTTTGATTTTGATTTTTAGGTTAGATAGAAGACGCCAATGCCTCCCAAGTCAAAGAAGCTGCAAGCAGGCCCAGGAATGAACAGAAAGTCTCGTCTCACACGAGCTGCATCCAAAGCCCAGCCAAAGCCCCCTGATGAACCGTTAAAGGCGGACCAGGTGAAAGAAGTGGATGAAAAAACCACGGTGGATCTCAAAGAGGATGTCGTGGTCGAGGAAAAAATTAATGCTATTGAGCAGCAGCTATCTCCTGCTAGGACAGAAGTTGAGACAGAGGAGGAACATGAATCTGAGGCAAACAGATGCCCCCCTACTAAGAGTAAGTGACGTTTCATTATTGTATGGTTTAGGTTTGTGAGTTCTTGCTGTATGTCTCTTTATGATAAATATTGCGTTCGAACTTCTTATGTGGAAATCTTTCAGTTCTTTTGGGGTATATGAGCTATTTGTCTATTTTAGTATTAGTAATCTGGTGAAATGCTGAAAGATTAGATCTTTGTTTAATTTTTGCATATTAGTTAGGTTATACTTAAAACATTGCCTCTGCGTGAATGGATTACACTTCTTGGTGAGATGTTGAATCGTTAATTGTAGCACAACTCTTTTCCATGTTTCTTGAATCTCTCTCAAGGCAGTTTCCGTACTTGAGGATAGTACGTTATTAGTATGTTTAAGGTCACTTGATGACTTGAATAATACAGAGTACAACCATTAACTGCCACGAGGAAAAAGTAAGAAGATGCGTCCTCATGTGTGACAACAGTTCTTTTGGAAGTTATTTTGTATGCTTAAGGCCTACGTGGAAACCATATTGCTATCTTTGAAAGCCATTGTAAACCGTGGTTTAACACTTTAGGCCATACTACCTCTGTCCCTTAACACTTTTCCATCTATGACTTTTCAAGTCATTCATGGTAAAATTTGGCCAATGATTTTGATTAGTATAATTATATGAAAGTTATAAATTTTATACTTACCAAAGTATTTTCAACAAAGAACATTTCCATATAATTTTATTTTATAAATCATTTCCTATAAAAATATATCATTTGTCAAAGTTTAATTAATTGACCAAAAGATTCAAAGATGGCAAAGTTTTAAGAGACAAAGGGAGTATTTCATTCTATCTAAATGAAAAGCTATCTGGAGCATGAGATTTGGCAAAGTATGTAGTCTGTAGGTCACTAAGGTGTTAGGTACTTGTATATTTCAATCTGTTGACTGTCCTGGATGAATATATTTTTCAATGGCAGAGGAGTTGGAACCGAAAGAGTCGGTTGATGAGTATGAAAAATGTGAAAGGTTAGACTTGGAGGATAATGATCCTGAATATGAAACTGAAGAGTATGTTGGTGCTGATTATGATGAGAGGGGAAGTGAGCAAGAAGACGAGCAAGATGAGGGAGATGAGATAGAAGATAACGAGGAGGACTTTATTTGTGGTGACGAAGGTGAAGGTGATATGGTTGAAGAGGTAGAGGAGGTTGAAGATGTCAATGAGGACCTTGAGGTAGAAGAAGATGATGAACAAGAAAATGAAGAACACACTGAGATGGTTAATGCAGCCGAAGAGGAAGAACATCACGAAGTTGTTAAAGAAAGACGCAAGCGTAAGGAGTTTGAAATTTTTATCGGTGGCTTAGACAAGGATGCTACTGAAGATGATCTTAAGAAGGTCTTTAGTCAAGTTGGTGAAATCACTGAAGTGAGGCTTATGATGAACTCTCAGACCAAGAAGAACAAGGGATTTGCTTTTCTGAGATTTTCAACTGTAGAACAAGCCAAGCGTGCTTGTGTAGAGCTAAAAAATCCTGTGGTATTTTCTTGATTCTGTAGTTCTCGAGCTAAAACTGATTTGATGTTTTTTGTCAAGAATATTATCCTGACAGCCAAAGTTCCAGGTTAATGGAAAAAAATGCGGTGTTACTCCAAGTCAAGACAGTGATACTCTGTTTTTAGGCAACATATGCAAGACATGGACGAAGGAAGCTGTAAGTAGACTAGGTCGATTTATATTGTTATCATCGAGAATAAGCTTATAAGATCATTTAAGCTGTTGCTTAACAGCTGTTACTTTGATGTTCACTTTGCCCTTCCAGTTGAATGAGAAGTTGAAGCACTATGGCATTGATAATATTGATGACTTGACACTAGTGGAGGACACAAATAGCGTAGGAACAAACCGTGGCTTTGCATTCTTGGAATTCTCTTCTCGTTCAGATGCTATGGATGCTTTTAAGCGTCTTCAGAAGAGAAATGTTGTCTTTGGAGTTGACAGACCTGCCAAGGTTTCCTTCGCAGATTCATTCATTGATCCAGGCGATGAAATAATGGCTCAGGTAAATACTTCCAGTCTGCACTATTGAATTCATAGAAGTTGGAGTTGTTCCATTTGTAGTTGGGAAGTCTCCTAAACAGAGGACATTTTGCTCTGTGGATAGAAGTGGCCTTCACACTTTGGATTTGCTTTAGACAAGTTTATTTGTCCAGCACTGTGTATGCAGCGTATTGCTGCTGAAGGATTAATGGAAAGACATTTAGTTGATACTTAAAGTTCAATCATTCAAAAGGACATGAATTGGGAAAACAAATATGGGCATTATAGTGGATATAATGCTCTGTTTTATTTATATCTGCCTTTGTTAATTCTCCTCTCTAGAGTGGTCTGCATGTTTTTTGTTTCTTCGGGAATTAATCGTTATTGTAGCCAACATTCTATAATATTGTGTTATGTAGCAGGATAATAATAGTAAAAAATCTCCCTAACTGATATTTATTTATCCAGGTCAAAACAGTCTTTATAGATGGTCTTCCATCCCATTGGGACGAAGCCCATGTTACTGAACTTCTAAAAAAATATGGAAAGATAGAAAAGATTGAGCTTGCTCGTAATATGCCATCTGCCAAGAGAAAGGATTTCGGATTTGTGACATTTGATTCACATGATGATGCTGTTACTTGTGCTAAATGCATCAATAATGCTATGCTGGGAGAAGGAGATAGTAAGGTTTGTTATCTAAATCCATTTCATATCTTGCGTTGTCTCTTCCGAACATATTTCTTTCTTAAAAGGATCACCCATCTTTTAGGTCAAAGTCCGGGCCAGATTATCAAGACCCCTTTCAAGAGGCAGGGGAAAATATGGTTCTCGAGGAGACGTGGTGAGGCCTCGGCGCAGGCCAGTACGAGTGCCCAGGGCTCCGTGGGGACGCTCATTGCCCCCTAATCTTCCCACTCGTGCATCAAGAGTTGGTACACGTGGGCCGCCTTTGGTTGATCGCAATTATAAAAGAGCTGCTGGTTATAGAGATAGAAGATCAACCATTGCTGTCCCTCCTAAGAGCAGACCTGTTGCTCATGTGCCTAGCAGGTCATATGAGAGGAGGCCACCTGGTTGGTATACTTTTCTGTTGTGTTCACTATTCCCCCCCCTGCATGTTTACATTTACATTTACATTTATCATTGATTTATTATCATACAGCTCATGCATATACAAGAAGTAGTACTAAGAGAGATTATGGAAGCAGAGCTGCAATAGACTATGCTCCTAGAGTGCATTCTGACAGACGTACATCCTATAGAGACGAGTATGCTTCCCACGGATCTGGCTATAATGATTTTCCAGAAGGAACATCTAGGACTGGCGTACGGAGAGCATATGTTGATGATGGCTATGAGCAGAGGCTTGAAAGACCCCTTCCAGTTTACCGTGAAAGCCGTGCTCGGGAATATGACTCTATATCCGGCTCAAAACGTTCATATACTGCAATGGTCTGGTTTTCATTTTCCTTTATAATAATGATGATTTGTGGGATGCATTAGTCTTCTCTCTGTATATCGCTTGATTTTACTGATGCAAAGAAATGTTTTCTTCTTCTAATGCAATAGCAAGAGGATGTTCCTCCTCCTCGATATGTTGAGGCAGGAGGTCGCCGTTCTCGTGCACGATTGGACTATGATTATGAAGGACGCAGTGCTTCTCAATATGGTGGTTCCTATGGCGGCAGGTACACATACATATGCCCCCTCTCTGAAATAATTCAGTAGATAAAACTTTTTTGTTAGTAGTACTTTGGTTAATTTATTTTGTAAAAAACTTCTGCAGACCTGGAAGGCCTCCTATTGGATATGGGGGTAGAAGTTCTATGTCTAGTCAAGATTCTCATGGACTTTATAATAGTCGCCAGGGTATGGGGTATGACAGAGGTGTGTTGTGATTTGTGAACATTGTTTAACTTGTGAAATATTAGCTCATTAATTTTTATGTATTTGAGTTCTATTCGGTTATGACGAGTTTTTCTTTTGGCAGGATCCTATAGTGGTAGTGATGTTGGTGGAATGTATGCTTCAGGCTATGGTGGTGATTATATGCCTCATGGCAGTGATGTAGGCTTTTACTTTATTTACCCCTTTCAAGCCTATTACTTCAGTCGTCCAAAAAAGTCATGTTTGTGTAATGTACAACCATTTATTGTGAGCTCAATCAAGTTTGACAGTTATACAAGTTCTGTTTGGAGTACACTGAACTCTCTTTCAGTGTGGCTTTAAAGGAATTGTACTTAACTATTAAAATTGACTGTTGAAACCCTTGTTCTTTAACTATGCTAGTATTCTTTAAAGAGAAGTATTTGAAACATGACTTTTATTTGGGAGGGGAGAGAGCATATCTTTAGAAATTGACGTCTTGACACTGAAGGTTACTTTTTCTCTTTTAAATTCAGATGGGTGGCAGCTCGTACTCATCACTTTATTCTAACCGTGAAATGGGAGGTGGAGGCTATATGGGCGGTAGCAGTTCCAGATCTTATTATTAAGGTAAGTCATATTTGTCTTGTTGTTTTTCTAGCCTTACTCAATAAACTGCTTAGATAGTGATATAAATTATGAATGTGAAAGTATGCTATAGTTGCCCTCTTCATACCTTACCTTCCCTAGAAAGATAAACAAATTGGTGAAAACTAAGGTATCCTATTAGCAAAGTGAGCTCTTCAGGAAGTGTGGTTCTTAGAAGTCATATATTCTGTATTTTCCTCACAAGAGGCGTCATTGAGGAATGGAGTGAGCAATATGGTTACATGTCAATTTCTCTACCATACAGATCTGAAAGGACAAAGAGGCTGCATGGAGTGCATTATTTACTTGAAGGCCTCTACGTTATGGATTGGAAGTATTACATCTAGCATGCTGAGCCTTGTATGTGGTTTGGTGACATGCATGATAGAACATCGGATCTTATTTATGGAGATGTCACCAGGAGATTGGTAGTTCAATTGTACTGAGATTTGGATGCCTCGTAAATTTCTTCTTTTAGGGAACTTGCAGAATTTCAAAGACGTGACTGCTACATATCCAGTATTTGTCGTTAATTTTCTTTTTATATAAACTATTGGTATCTCTATGAAAGAGTTTGTTTGAAATAATAGTAAAAGTGGAGTGCTGTTGAAGTGCCAACGTTATCTCTACGTATCCATTTAAATATCAGTTCTTTCTCAATGTTATGTACTGAAAACTAATGGATTGCAAGAAACAGTCAAAGAGAATGCAAAAGAAGAGACGTGGAAATCCTTTTATTGGTTATGAAATATGGATTGACAGGGACTTCTGAGAGTGATTGGGTTATGGACTTATGGTCTCCACTTTTAGTGAAAACAATATTTTTTGTTGAAGAGAGATGGGGGCATCAAATGCGCGTCTCACTATTGTCATATTGCTTTAGCTTTTGCGAACATTGTGATCATTTGTGCATTTTAGGAAGAATGAGGCTAGACAACCTGTTGGGCCAAAGGATGTCTTTCTATGTAATTAGCTCACTTACGCACAATTCAAAAAGACCAGTGATCGTGATAGGAGCCAGGACTTCTCCAGTGATGAAGTCTGTCATTAAGGAATAGGTGAATGAAATTTCCGTTTTTCCGGGTTTTCATAGGACACCTTTCAAATTTGTTTTCCATTATTTAGATTAGTTTGAGGCTTTGAGCTCAGAGTACAAAAATTAGGTGTATCATATTGATATGCTAATTGGACTGAAAGAAAAGAATGCTCTTAATTTGCCAAGGTGGAAAAGGCTAGCTCTGCCTAGGGTTGGATTCGGTTCGGGCCACCTGGCCCGTGACCCGGCCCGGCCTGGGCGGGCGGTCCGGGACCGGGTATGGACCCGAACCGGTGGGAATGGGCGAGGCGGGCTCGGTGCTGGATTAATGTGACCCGGCCGGGTCGGGCCCGGGCCCGGGTCCGGTCTTATTTTATTTTTTTTTTTTGTTTGGGCTCTTGGGCTACTAGCCGTTGGGGGTGGGGCTGGGGACAACCCAAACGGCTATATAGCCGTTGGGTGGGGTAAAGGGGGGGGGTCCGGGGGGGGGGGTGGGGTGGTGGGGGGGTGGGGGTAAAAAAACCTATAAATACTCCTAATCTTAAACATTTTTTCATCTCTTCTCCAATTCTTCCTAAATCCTATTCTTAAATCTCTAATTCTCTTATTCTCCAATATTTTATATTTATTATTTATATATCTACTTTATAGTTTATACTTAAGAAGTTAAGATGGAAAATCAAGATGCCATTATACGGTATAATTTTGATAAGCAGAAGGACCCGAAGACCGGGATGTGGTACGCAATTTGCAAATGGTGCGAGAAAAAATGTAGCATGGGGGTTTCAGACGGATTCGGGATGACAATCAAGCATATGAAGTCATGTGACAAAGCCAAATGATCGGGAGGTGCGGGAAGTTCCGATTGATTACAATTTTCAAAATGTTTATCTCTTAAAGTTTGTTTTAATTTTCAAATGTAGTTCCTATTTCATTTCAAATAATTGCAATTGAAGTTTGTTTTTAATACTCGTATAAAACTATAAACTATAAAATATAAATTATATATAAAAAATTTAACTGGCCCGGCCCAAACCGGACCCGACCCGTGACTCAGGCGGGTGGCCCGGCCCGAACCGGACCCGTCCAACCCTCGGACCGGTCCCGGGCCCATGTCATACAACCCGGCGGCCTGACCGGGCCTAGGCCCGGGCCCGTCCCGGCCCGAGTCCATCAATAGCTCTGCCTTGACTCACTTTGTGGATTAGCCCTGCATATAGGGATGGATTGGTTCCGATTCGGGCCCGGGCGGGCCTCGGTTCAGGAAGGGGAGGCCCGGAACCGGCCCGGGTAACCCCGAGTCCGGGCAGGGCCGGGCCTCGGTTCTATTTTTTTTTGGCTTTTCTTAGTTAACCCACAACCCTCCCCCTCACCTCCAAACCAACCCTAACCACCTCAAATGGTCTAAAATACCCAAACCAACCCAAAAACTTAAAAAAATTCAAAAAAAAAAAATTGGCCGGGCCTGAATCGGCCGGGTCGGTTCACCTTTTGAAGGGCCCGAGCTCGAACCGACATCCCACCGGGTCGGGTGGCCCGAACCGGCCAACCAACCGGTTCACTGGGCCGGTCCGGGCCTGCACAGTAGTGGGCCGGTCCGGTTCCGGGCTGGTTGGCCTGGCCCGAGTCCACCCCTACCTGCATATACCAGCATTTTTTGGCTAGTTCAAATACCAGCATTTTGCACTTTGGTATTTACCAACTCAAATATGCAGTCATGTCTGGAAAGTCAACACAGAGACCAGTCATCAGTTCATCACATCCAAATACACCAGTCTAGAAAATCTTCTTTATCCCTAGAGCCGTAGAGGTGAGACTTCTAAAACCTCTAATACTTTGTTTTTTATTTCGAAAATGCCCCTCGATTATGGATCCTTATTTTGAACTTCTTTTTTGCTCAAGTTTTAGGCCCCGTTTGGTTGGAGAGTTTCGGAGGGGAGAGGAGGAAAGTGGAGGATTTGTGTGTGTTTGATTGAAGGAAATAGGGGAGGGGAGGAAAGTGGAAGGCTTTCGAAATCCTCCACTTCCTCTCATTCTTAAACCCCCCAAATCGGGGTATTTCGGAGGAAACGTGTCGATAATCACAAACTATCCATCTCCTACGTGAATGAACAAAACGTTATAATATAAAAAGGTAAAAAACAAAAAGTTTTGAAAAATTAAAAAATTAAAAAATTTAAAAATTTAAAGATTAAAATTTTTAAAAATTATAAAAATAAAAATTTAAAAAATTAAAATATTAATAAATTAAAAATTTTAAAATTTAAAAATAAAAAAATTTAAAAATAAAAATAAAATATTAAAAATTCCAAACTGAAAAATGAAAAATTATAAAATTAAAAAAGTAAAAAATAAAATAAAATAAAATTATGACTCGTGACCAGAGACCATAGGAGTAATATTCACAATAGTTAGACATGTATCTATTTTTTTAAGTATGCTTTAAAATAAAAGTAAATTGCAAAAATATTTTCATTAAACCTTTCCTCCCATTTCCTCCAATCAAACACAATTTTTTATCAAAATTCTTCCTTCTCCTTCCCTTCCCTCCTTGACTCTCCCCTTCCCTCCCTCCTTTGAACCAAACAAGACCTTAGTTTCAACTGATGGTTCCCATCCAAAATTATCTACATCAAGGGCATCTGTAGGAGTAACGATAGGGGACAATAAATATAGTCTTTTGAAATTTGAATCATCATTTATAATCCAATGAATGCGTGCAAGTCTTCCTAGAACGTCTACATTAATGTTTCTCCTTTACCGACTTACCGTTATTCCATCACTAAGGCTGGGTCTGGTTGGGGGATTTCGGGAGGGAGGGAAGGAAATTAGGGGATTGATGTTTGTTTGGTTGGAAGAACCAGAGAGAAAGAGGAAGAATGCGGAAGACTTCTAAAAGCTCCCGCTATCCCTCATTTCAAAGTCCCCAAATTCGGGTATTTCAGATGCAATTAGAATTACGGAAGATTGTATACATGAATGGAGAGTTTGAATCCAGATATGAGATATCTCAAAATATAAGCAGCTCAATCTCCTCTCTTGCGTCTTTCACTCCTCTTATGCCTTTCAACCCTTATAATGGCTATTATTACTTACTATAAAATACCCCATTAGAAATTATAATTGAAATTGTTTTATAATTTAAATATTATTACTTCTTTTGCATGCGTAATCAGTTGCTTGAAATAATTCAACATTGGTTAATTTCAATAATTTTTAACCTCTATGTATAATCAAAGTAATATTATATTTTCTATATTTATAAGAATAATTTTTAATAAATAATTTCAATAAAAAATAAATAATTAGTCATAGGGCTGTCAAGTATTTTGTTTAAATTTCAATATTATGATTTATGAACTCAGGTAATAATACTTCCTCCATTCTCTTTTGGTTTCAACGTTCCACTTTTTACGTTTGCTAATGCACAATTTTGATCATTAAAATATTTCAATTCCTATTAGTAAAAAATAAAAAATATCATATTCTGAAAAGTTAAAATAAGAGGAATTTAACAATATTTTGTTAAAAATAATATATAATGTATTAATAAATAAAATGTAGTCAGGAGCAATTAAAAAAGAACAAAGATAGTATTTGGATTCATCACATTTATCTAGCTTTGCAAACAAGTTATAAAACAAGGGCAAATTAGAAAATTCATTCTTTTAAACTTTACTCCCTTTTCCTCCAACCAAAACAAATGCTTATCAAAATAATTCTATCTCTTTCCCACCCCTATCCTCCTTGGCTCTCCCCTTCCCTCCCCTCCTTTGAACCAAACAATGGCTTAATGTTTTTGGCTGTCAATTTTCTCCACCAAGCCTCTCATCTGATAGATAGTCTTCTTTTGGCTCTCTCTATTAGGGTTTAGAAACTTTAAATAGACTAACTCATACTTATGTTATCTAATTAGTGAGTAGTCGCTGAGAACACAGTGAGTAGTTACTCTCGGGTTAACACCCAGTTGAATAGGTTACCTACTCGGTCTGATCCGATAATATTCAGAATGCTATGAGTTTATCGCCAAATACTGGTTGGTAGCATTATCAAGAATTTATCAGTATTAGATAGCGTTGTCAAGACTTTTTGTGCCAGAAGTCCTTTGTACAACAACAACATCCAAGCCCGGCCTTAATCCCAAAAGAATTTGGGGTCGGCTAACATGAATCGATCTATAATATCGATGCCAAAAAGAGAAGGCGGACAAGAAAAGGAAAAAAAAGTAAGATAAAATGAATAAAATAAAGATACATAAATACGAAGTATAAGATAACAATAACACAAGAATATAACCAAGTTAAAAGAAAAATAAATAAAAGAGCATAAAAAAGCCAGAAGCCCAGCTGGTCGCCGACTCACTCTCCCTTACGGGAGGTCTCGGGTTCGAAACTCAATGGAGTGAGTTTCAGCCTAGATTACTCCAGGCTCCCCAACCCCATCCCTCATACGCCCCTGGAGTAAAAAAAAAGTCAGAAGCCCTTTGTAGATTACAAAAATTCATGGGTGTGAATGTGTGATGATATATGTTCTTGAATAATGATTAGTTTTGATTGAATATGCAAAGATATATTCAGGGTTTCTTTCCACGCTATTCATCTTTGTGTAGATTTGAGATATGTTAGTGCTTTTGTTATCATTACTAGTTTTTTGAACCCCTAAAGGCAGCTTTGTGAGGTAAAGCAGGTCAAGACAAGGAGGATACAATGTTT